GATAGTCCTCTAAGGACCGATTCCACCGTTGTGTTAAACGGAGATTAAAATGACGTTGTTAATGTAAAAATGTCATTTTAAACTTCGTTTAACACAACGGTGGAATCGGTCCTAATGTATTTTAAAAATCCGTTTAAATAGTGACCGAATTAAAGAAGAAAATATTTTTTAAGGCCGTTAAATATAAAGGAATTTTTATAGAATAGACCCCTAAGTATGAAATTTTACAATATTTTTGACCCGATATTTTTTTTTGTTAAGTCGTATTTTTAACACCGCAAGCAGATGGAAATACTTTTTCATTATCGATATAATCCTGAAACTCTTTACAATATGTATTTTAAATGTATGCATTAAGACGATTATGACTTTTTGACCAGTTCAATAAACACGCTTGGCATAGATAGAGCGAATTAATTAAATTTTTTATTTCTTTGCCTGATTCATCCACACATTTTTCAAAAAAAAATAACCCAAACGCGCTCACTTTGGTTATTTATTTCCTCGCAATAACTTCACGTTGAGAGAAGAACTCTTTTAATTCAACCCACTCAATTTATTCATAGCCGGGAGATTTTGAAAATGAAATGCATTTTTCCGGGAGAGTCTCCTAAGTACAAAAAAAATATTTTTAAAGAGTCTGATGTATGTGCATTTATGTGGGGTGTTTATACAGTATGGTTCAAATGAAAGGAATAAATTCATTATAATGGAAGTAGTTGTTTTTTCGAAAAAATGCTCGGACAGGTCAATTTTGTTTACTCAAAGCGCAATTTTTTAAATAGAATTCAATTTTCCCCCAGTTCAGATTTTTGGGCAGTGACGTCATTGACAATTTTTTTAAATAGTAATCCCAATTTATTTTTCTTGATTTTGATAGATCTTGCAATTTCCTACTCGGAAACATAATATTTGAAATATCTTACATAACAATGTTTTTTGAATAAAAGACATTTAAAGATCAGACACAAATTTTATTTTGAGAACACAATAAATGAATAAAAGATAATTATTTGTAATGAAGTGCTTAATGTAACAAAATAATTAATAATAATAATAAAAAAGAATTTGTGAAATTGTCATTAAATTCTTTTTATTATTATTTTAGATGAAGCACTTAATTACAAATAATCTTTTATTCATTTATTGTGTTTCAAAATAAAATAAAATTTATGTATCTGATCTTTAAATGACTTTTATTCAAAAAAAAAATGTTATGTCAGATATTTCAAATATTATGTTTCCGAGTAGGAAATTGCAAGATCTATCAAAATCAAGAAAAAAAAATTGGGGTTACTATTTAAAAAAATTGTCAATGACGTCACTGTCCAAAAATGGGAAGTGGGGGAAAATTAAATTATATTTAAAAAATTGCGCTTTTAGTAAACAAAATTGACCTGTCCGAGCATTTTTTCGAAAAACCACCTACTTCCATTATAATGAATTTATTCCTTTCATTTGAACCATACTGTATATGTATGACATTAAGCACGTTAACTCAAGAAGAAAAATTTGAAAATTATTTTTTTAAATTGTGTTTAGGGCTCCGTCAAATATTTAGCTTTTTAAAAAGGTTCCGTCGCCAAAAAAGTTATTTTCTCTAATTTTGACATATAAAGTAATATATTTTGTTATCGCAGCAAGTGTCAAAACGATCTACTTTATGCAACCAGTTGCATAAAGTAAAACATTATGCAACTGATTATGAAAAGTTGATTATGTGACCAGTTACGAAATGAAAATAAATAAAACTGCCTCTTTTTTGGTTTTTAAGTCGAAAAATTGAAAACACCAAAAATCGAAAAAAGGCAATGAATAGTGATATTTCACATTTGAAAATATGATATTACATATAATAATAAAGCGTGTAAAAGGAATACAGGGTGTCAAGAAGTTATATATAAAAAAATACAATTGATCCAGAATGGCCCTTTGATTAGTTTTTGACACAAAAAATACTGCCAAATATTTTTTGAATATTTCATAATTTTTTGAAAAAATACTTTTTGCAAGTCTGAGGCTATCTGAACACTGTACAACAAAAAGAAAGCAAAATTGGATCACAGTTTATTGGACAAAATACATTTATTTCATAAATATGCTATATTAGTAACTCCTATGTCCTGTAATGTTTCTTCAAATTTGTCATTTTCTTCCTCAACACTTTTTTGTTTTTGTAAGATTTTAGACTGGTAATATAAATGTGAGTCTTCATTAATGTTAGTATCAACCTGTTCTAGAAGCTCACAGTCTAAAACCTCGATTTTTATTCCATCTTCATGTGTTATATCCTGTTTTTCATCAGCATTATCCTGTTCTAGAGGCTCGCAGTCAACAACCTCAGTTTTTATTTCTTGTTTTTCATCAGAATTATCCTGTTCTAGAAACTCGCTGTCTAAAACCTCCATTTTTATTCCATCTTCATAATTTATTTCCTTTCTTTCATCAGTATGATTGTTGTTTATACGTAAATTATGGTTGTTCTTTTCTCCAATATGCAAATATAAATGTTCATTCAGAGGCAACAATTGAGAAAACGATATACCACAAATTGTACATTGAAAATTCTTTTTTTCATGACGTGACAGGTGTCTTTTTAGGGTGCTGTTTCTAGTAAACGATATACCACAAATTTTACATTGAAAATTGTTTTCATGACCTGACAGGTGTCTTTTTAGGGTGCTGTTTCTAGTAAACGATTTTCCACAGATTTCGCACTTATTCTTTCCTCTATGCATAAATGAATGATGGGTTAGTGACTTTTTTGTAGAAAATGATTCTCCACACATATCGCATTTGTAGTTTTTTATTCCATGGCACATGGGCATATGTAGTAGGTATTGCCATGTTTTATTAAATGATTTATCACAAATTGTGCATTTCACCTTTTTTTTAACTGCATGAAGCGACATGTGTCTTCTTAGGTCCTTTCTTATAGTAAATGACTTTTCACAGATGTCACACTTGTAATTATTTTCTCTATTATGCAAAAGTAAATGTTTTTGTAAATGAATAAAGGATTTTTTGCAAATATGACACTTATCGCGTTTTTTACCATGTTGCTGTAATATAGAATTTTGAGAATTCTTTTCAACAGAGCCATAGTTGTTATCCATGCAGTTTTCCGATTTTATATCTTCTATGATATGTAATTCTTCTTCAAATTCATCGTTTTCTTTCTTAACACAAATTACTTCTTCTTCAGAGTTATGATCTAAATGTGTTACCTTATCAATGTTAATATTATTTGGTTCATAAAATTCACAATCCAAAACTTCACTTTTTATTGTGGTTTCCCATTTTATTTCCCGATCTTCATCAATTTTAAAATTCATTGTATTTGTATTATTCGCTTAAAGATTTAAACTGTTTATACCATGGAAAATAAAATGGTGGTTTTTACTTTCGAATTAGGCATTCCAACGACCTGTCAAAGTGTCAAACAATAGGTGCCAGTGGGAAATTCTTGTATATTTAAAAGGGGGTAGCGACATAGTCTTGCAACTTGGACGCTATTTTTATTCGAAGTAGTACTCGCCAAGCCTGCCAATTTATGAAGAAATGTATAGGTGGGTTTTTTTAAATATTATTTTTATTGTGTTTGACATAAATAATTTAAATGTAATCCATTATTTATGATTTTACGTAAAGTAGATAGAATACACCATATGTCGCCACCCTTAGATATACCAAACCTGCCCACTACTGGGGGTCGATTCTCGACTCGTTGACTCGTAGGAATTTTTTCCTATGGGAATTTTTGACATTTTTATATACATCGAAAATTTATGACATTTTCCTACATACATTGCGTTCGGTTTGCCACGTTCCTTTAACTCCTTTAACACTTTTAACTCCAAACGACTCTTTTAGCGTTCGGTTTTGTCCGATTAGTGACAGTTTAACACGCTTAAATGTCATTTAAAAGCACCCTAAAATTTGTCCCGCTCCAGCCCCTGACTGACCGAACTCGCCTATATAGGAAAGTGTCACAAATTCCTATAGGAAAAGGTTCCTACAAGTCGAGAATCGACCCCGCCGACCCCGGTAATTCATTTGTTTGGAATGCCTGTTTAAATTTTTTAATAGGCTTGTCACTGTCAGTACTATCACCTGTCACTCCCCCAGCGGTGGTGAACGCACCCAATGTCAAAAGACTTTGGAATTAATGTGGTTTGTGAATATGGCGGATAGCTGTTTCCGATTGCCAGTGAAGTACTGTCTAAGAGGATAAAATAAATAATAACTTTTTATGAAAGGTCTGTTCTGGTTCTTCAAAAATATGTTGAAAACTGTCCTAGTACTAGTTGACCAGTGGAAAGTTTTACGAATAATTTGGTATTTAACTGTTTCGCGATCTCGCACGGTTTACAGTACATTTTGAAGGAACCAGAACAAGCCTAAAGTATACAAGTAATGAGAACCACAAGTAGTCGATTTAACAGTAATTATTTATTTATAAATGGTTTGGGCGCGAGTAATATACAAAAATACCTTTTTTTAAGAATCAAAATGTTTCTTTTTTGACCTACAAAACTAAATTATCTCTAATATTTTCTTGTTACCATACATTTTAGGTAATTTTCAGAATTTAAAACCAATGCTAGATAGTAATGACTTTTTTTGTACTCATCAATGAAATTGGTCTTTCATCAATTTATTTGTCACTTTTTACATCATTTGTTCTTAGTTGTTGTAAGCATACATTTAAATTTACCCATTTTGAGGTTATTTAACCATGTATAAAACCCGATTTTAGTCCCTTATACCAACGTAAATTTTTTACTGTAATAGTAACAAGTAAAATCTGTTATTGCCTTATGAAAATTGAGTCAAAGAACATTTTGATCCTATAAATAAAACTAGCGATTGAGTGTTTCCGAATCTGACGGTAAGTAAGTAAGTAAAAGTAAATAAAAGTAAGTAAGTCGTATTGTTTTTTATCTGTGAAGAAAAAATAATTTTCGATATACCAATATTAGTATAGTAAACAGTAGTAGTAAGAAAACATGTCCTTTTATTAAAATATATAAATAAAAATACAATTAAAAACATTTTAAACTCTAAGAATTTGTACACTGGCTCTATCGCAGATGGACTTATTACTTCCAGGCGCAATTTCTATTCTAGCAAATGTTCCTCCATTAAAACCTTTTGTCAGCTTCTCAGGATTAATAATCAAACAATCATCAATGTCCTAAAATTAAAATCAACAAAAAATATTGATCCATGCAAAAATTTTCGTATACACGGCTTAAATATTTCTTGAATATATAGCGCAAAACTATAAGGAGCAATAGAAAGAAGATTATTCATATGAAGTGAGAATTAGAGAAAACAGAAGCTATCGCAGCTCCTCCTGTTATTCAGCAATACCCAAGGAATATTTAAGCTGAATCTGTACATATTTTAAATAATTACCTTAACGAAAGTTTTCATTGTTGATGGCAAAATTAGTATATGCGGTTTAGCATTTAAAATGCCATGTTGTTCTAATAATACATAGTCTATACATATATCCTGGTGAGCTGGATACAATGGGTACATATTTTTTTGATGCAACAAATGCGAAGCCATTCTTTCCAGTCTTCCTGAGTTGATAACAGCATTTCTATCACTGAAAATACAATGTTAAATACATTTATTCATTAAAATGAACAAAAAACTTACTAATGTAACTCGAAACCGCTCATGTGTAATAGAATGTCTGCGGTAGTCATTGCT